GACCGACCTGACTTGTTATACAGGACCGACTGACTGAGCAAGAGTTTAGTTAGAGGCAGTAGTTTCCTACCTTCAGGGTCACTCCGACGATCTTAGGTCAGCGACGAAGCACTCGACCTTCCCCACTTAGAAAATAGAACCTCATTCCCCTTTAGCCAAACCCGATCGTAGCAAGAACGAGGGCGTCAAGAACCTTAGTCCACGTGGAGAAATTAGCTTAGCCTCCAACCTGCCCCTGTGCATGCCGGGCCTCTGGCATGTGTTCCCCTGCTCTCCTATAAATACCATAAAAAATATTTATATTTTATTTCATATCCGATTCTTTAGATACTTAGATTGGTTTGCTGGCAACAGCCCAAAGGTCACAAAACCAACAAAAAGTATGAAAAAATAATAATTTAAAACATAACCAATGACGGTGTTAATTGATATAACTAGTGGAGAATTATAAAATCAAAAAAATACGTTGCATTATATTTGTTGAGAGTAAATAAATAAGACATACTCTAACATAGTATCATAATGAGGCGAACTAGTTAGATTGAGATCGATAATAATATATTAAAAAAAGAATAGATGAGTGTTAATTAAATTGAAGTGGAGCATGTAATATTGTAATGTAATTAGAGTAATGTGCAACTAATGTAGCAGGGGGCCGGACTTGCCGTCATGCCGTGAATTGTTTGGATGTTAGGGGACTATATTATGGATTGCCAGAATGGATCCATGATTGGATATATTACCTTTCAATTCATTTTTTTTCCTCAACGACTCAGACTACCTGCAACTAACACACAAATGTCCTGCTATATATATATATATATATATATCTATCCCTTTTCCAACACTTTTTACAAACATCGAATGACCCAGAGCCATGAATTTAGCTAGGCTGACGAGACGTGAACCTAAATTTTATCTAAAATTGACGACTATAATTCATACTCATATCCATCATAACATAAATCCAATTCTTCATCTCTAACATTAACATTGTACTAGGGGTCTGAGTTGTCGACCCTGGAGTTGTCTACCAGTCAAGCTCGAGCAGGTGCTCGGTGGACGGTCCAAAAATCCCTCCATTTAAGCTAGGCGTTACGTTATTTAAATTTTATAACGCTAGGTGAAGAACACATGTCGTAATTTTCGTTGGCAAGAGCATGTGAGGCTCAACTATAATTTGATCAGGTTGATCACACCACGTGTCTATACTAAATTGACTCAAGCTGATAGAATATATATATATATAACTGAAAAGATACTTCAGGAGTCCTTTGTTTGTCTAAATGGAACAACTGATTTTTTAATTTGACAGATCAAAAAAATGCATTTATTAAGTCGGACATAATAAAAAATTACTGTATATATACATTCTGTATATCATCATCAATCCCGTTCCAATCTAATTTACACCAAACCATAACATAACCCAAACCTATTCTCAATCTCAAATGCTAATAATAAATTATTCTAATCACAAAAGTTATCTTATAACTATAATTCAACTTTAACCATACATTCAGCCTTATGTTGAGCATTAAATCTTGGAAGTTTTCTTTTATCTTTTTCTTCAAACTTTCATTAACCTCAAGAAAAGCCATATATATATATCATCATGAGGATCTCATCCTAGTATCCTACACAGATAGACTAAGGGGAGGTCGGTTAAAGTAAAATCTTTTGAGGAGTTTAAAGTCAAGATAAGCATCTGATGATGATGTTTTCGAGCATCGATCTCTTGACCGTCCGATATGATATATATATGTAAAATAGTTTGGGTGATTTCATGGGTAACCAATAATGTTTACTTTTGGTCTGGATGCAGGGCACGGGCGGCGTTGAAAGTGGTGGAATATCCCCCTCAAAGTTTGCGGCACTGTTCTTTTTGGACGACGATATGTTTATGCTTTTAGGATTAGAAACGTTGGGAACATAATGTTCCATCTTTTACTACGTTCAATGTTTCTTGGAGGAAGTAATTAAACTTGTGATTCTAAATAAGATGTGATGGGCTAAACATCTTATAATCAAACGGTATAACTGTAGCTTTTCGAGATGTGAGGTCATATAAGTTCGAACCCATGTGATTTAGTAGGCAAATTATGTTGTGCATTTGTGTGCACTATGCATAGTGTCCACGGATGCAAAAACAACGTCGTTTTGATTAAAAATGACCCGCGTCCAACTTAACAAAGAAAATCAGTTTCGATTCCCGTCAACAACATTATGTTTTGCATAATTTCTGAATGTATGGCTATGAAATTATTGATATATAATTATGCAATTCTTGATTTATAGTTATGAAATTATGGATGTGTAGTTATGCAATTCTAAATGTATAGTTATGAAGTTATGTAATTCTGGATTTATAGTTATGAAGTTATGGATGTATAGTTATGCAATTCTGGATGTATATAGTAATGAAGTTATGGATGTGTAGTTATGCAATTCTGGATGTGTAGTTATGCATTTCTGATTTTTTTTTTTAAGTCGACATCAAAACGACGTCGTTTTTACATCCGTGTGCATCATGCATGGTGCACAGCATAACGACTCGATTTAGCAGCCTTGGGCCACTTGGGTTTGGGCTTAGTTGTGATGTGTCTTTGGGCTTTAAATTTCTTTTTGGACTGTAGACTATTGTTTTGCATAGTTTATGGGCCTTGTTTTGTTAGCTGTTCAGGCTTATCTATAAGGAAGCTAATAACTATGTAAATTGAGTTAAAACAAATTTCAATAGACTTGGATCTACGTGTGTTTGATGATTGATGAAATATTCAGTAGTGGGTTGGCCCAACATGACCACTATACATATGTAGTACATCTTATGACTCTAATTGGTGAAAGATCATGCAAACCTTAGGACTACTTGTTAAGCCTATAGCCGCTATACTTTTTGGAGATGGATTCTGTGTGTAGTACATTTTGTGATTCTAATCGGCAAAAGATCACAAGGAAGTACCAAAAAAATTAATAGACAATTAAGAGTTGAATTTGAAATCTTGTGATTATCAAGCTAACTGTTTGATCAACTTGACTGAGTGTGTGTTGACCTGGAGTACTTACGGTGTGTGCTAAACTCACTAGTGAATCAATCATCCTTCTAATGGAATTCATTATCCATGGTTTACACCTAGGTGTGTTTGGTTCATGGGTTTACACACTAGAAATGATAATCAAAATTATTTTTTGAAGATCAAAATTTAATGCATTAAATCACGAATAAAACAACTTACAATGAAAGAAGGCGGGGGGAGGGAGGGGGGGGGGGGGGCGGGGGTATCAAACCACTCCCCATAACTTGCATCAGAACTAGCCTCCCTAGCAACAGTGTGAGTGGCATAGTTCGCAGATCGTTTAGCAAAATAGAATTTAACATCATCAATCATTGATGCCAATTCTTTAACATCATCAATAATAATTCCAAAAGTAGAATTAAACGAAGGAAGAGAGAGAGAGAGAGAGAGAGAGAGTAAAAAATGTTTTGAGAGTCCATTTCCACATCTACACCACCCATTCCCGTAACTTTCAACCAGCTTAAAGCCTCTCTCAGACCAATAGCTTTTGCTTCGTTGATAGTGTAAGTCCCTTCAAGATGCATATAACAAAACACAACTAGGGGATTTGATTACCCATTGAATTAAGAACCTCGTTCCCTAATTAAAAGGGGGTATCATTTCATTTTATATTAGTAATTTGATTTTTAAGTTTGGATTAGTGCTTTTCAAATTTTTGTTTTGATTTTTGTTAATATTAGTGCTTTGGATGTCATTATATTAAGATAATAAATTGTCTTTTTTTTTTTTTTTTGAAACTTTTATTCCTATTATATGATCATATGTAACCAAACATCAATATTGATAATCATTCCAATTTCTTCCCTACTACCAAACATATAAAATACTTTCACTAAAATTCATTACCATTACCAAGTATTTTGATTCTCATATGTTAACCAAACACACTCACTGCACACACCCTTAATGCTGTTGGTGTGGTTAGTTTATACTCATTTTCAATTATCATAATATATACATACATATGAGTTCAAACATACAACGGTTGACCAATAAGATAGTCATTACATTGCCAAAACAACAACAATAATGCTCATAACAGAAAACATTAAGCTAATGGGACAAATAACGAAACTCATCATAGCATATTGCATGCATTTTTCACATGTTAAACAAGAAAAAAAATTTAAACTCTAGTCGGCAAAAAGTCACAAGGTGAAAGATCAGCCTAAATTGTTCATAACTAATAATCTCAAATTAAAAATGTTAATAAGTACATTGATTATAAGTCAATGTCTGACCAATTCGACTTGAGTTACCTCCGCAAAAATAATTAAATATATATACCATATATATCATGTTTTATGGTGCCGAACAACATCAATATTTTTTTTTTTGAATGTAACTAGGGTTTTCACCGTCGGACTCGCTAATCCCCTTGCTGAATTGTAGACACCTCTTTTGGTAATATTGATAATATAATAATATAATGGGAAAATGGTCAAATAGGCCCTCGAACTTTAGTTTAAAAATTAATTAGGCTCCTAAACTTTTTAAAGGTGCAATAACACCCATCAACAATTCATTTAAGTGCAATGAAACCCAAAAACAAATTAATGACCTGCTATCACAGGTCATTAGGGTTCAGGCCACCTTCCGACGAATTTTTCGGCGAAAAAAAAAAAAAGTGACCGGCGAAATTTTTGACAAAAGAAGTGACCGGTGAAATTTTCGGCAAATTTGGGTCGGTTGCTAGTCACCTTTTTTATGTCGAGAAATTCGCCGGAAGGTGGCCTGAACCCTAATGACCTGTGATAGCAGGTCATTAACTTGTTTTTGGACTTCATTGCACCTAAATGAATTGTTGATGGGTGTAATTGAACCTTTAAAAAGTTTAAGGGCCTAATTGACTTTTAAGCTAAAGTTCGAGGGCCTATTTGACCCTTTTCCCTAATATAATTAAACACTAATTTGCATGCGTATTGTGCTTAGGACTTCCGTCCACAATTCTTCAAACCCAATTCAATTAGCTAGCTTAGCAATCTCAATTCTTAACAGTTTCCTCCATCCTGAGAATCTCTGCAACGAACATACATTTATATATATATTCCGGGTTTCAGAAGTGTACAGAAAATCTGAAATTCATAGATTGATGGAACACTATAATTATCACATCATAACGACATTGGTGTTGAGTTTAGTTTCATGGGAAACGTTGTTTCGGTTCACAACAAGGTTTCTGTCCAACCGCTCTTTCGTTTTCTGCAACCGAATCATTTCCATCATCCATGCATCCTTAGCAGTAACGTTGGCTTCTCTGTCTGTTCAAGACTGGACCTGCCCCTTTTGCCCCCTGGCTTCCAAAGCTTCCCCTCTCCAGGTATAGTTTTTGCACCACTCCCAACATTTGGTTCATGTTTTTTTTTTTTTTTTTTGGGTGACAAAGAAAAACCCGATATAACCAGCTTTGTTAGTGTGAGCGGTCATACATTCTTCTCCTTCAGAGGATTGGGAGTACAAAACTCCCTCGTATGAAAAAAGAAACGTTGTGCTTTGGGCACGGTTTTATATCCATAATTTCTATACTGTAGATTCATAATTTTTAAACCGTAGATTCATAATTTAAATACAGTAGATTCATAATTTTTATACTACAGATTCATAATTTTTATATTATATAGTTATTAAATTATGAACATATAGTTCTCTGATTTGTGAAAACAGAGTTCAACAATTGAAATCTAAAGTATAAATTTTATGAATCTACAGTATAGAAATTATTGATATACAGTATAGAACTTATGAATATGGAACCGTGCCCACATTGCAAGGTGGGCACGTGCTCACAACATAATTTGCCATGAAAAAATCAATATGGCAAGCACTTTGTTCCTAGACCAACTTGATGTGAACAAAGATTAGTCTAAAAATGATACGAACTTAAATTTACCTTTTATAGTTAGGACCCACCTACTCATAACACATTGTGGTTAAACCCCCTCCCTCAACCAAAAAAAAAAAAAAATCAGAAAAACTGAAGCCACTATCTGAATGTGTGGACTAAATAAACTATACCAAAGAGTTAAATTGTTGCACTTATACAAAATCACACTTGACCATCTCTTTTGGGCAAAATTTTAATATTTAAGTAACGGTGTTAAAACAAGCATAAATTACGTCGGGCCAGTTATTTATAGATTTTAAAACCCAGCTCACTATATAGCAGGCTGCCAACCAAGGCCACTTGTATGATCATTATTATATATATGTATAGTTGGTTGTTTAATAATATATGCAGATGCAGACGATGGTGATCTCACTTGGGTACATGGTACATGACTTGGTGTGCTGTCTTTATTATGAGGAAATAAAGGGTAGTGATGTGTTGCACCATTTGGTTACCTGTATTGGACTTGGAACTGGACTTCTCTATCAAATGGTAATTAATAAATTAAATTGGATCAATAATTTTTTTTTTTCCTTTTGGTAATTAATCTGGTCCACCTACCATACCCTTGATGATCTTGTTGTTTCATAATTTTATTGAGTGGGGAAATTTTTAGTGTGGATCAGAATTGGTGGGAGCATTGTGGGTTTCAGAGATTTCTGGTCCATTTGATGACTTGAGAGTCATTCTCAAAGAACTTGGTTATAGGGACACCAACCTCAATCTCGCAGTTGATGTAAGCTTTATTTATTTGTTTATGTCATAAAATCGAGTTCAGCTATATAAAAATTTTATGTCAATTTCATTGTACTACAAGATTTTTGACTTATTAAATCGAACAAATTGTTTGATTTAATTTTGCACTTACAGATATGCTTCGCAGTTATTTTCTCAATTGCTAGGATGATAGGATCTACTTATCTCATGTATCTCACCGTGTCTGCTCATAATAATCCAATCCTCATCAAGGTATACTATTATTGCACTCCCACATCTTCTTTAATGTGGATTATGCTCCATCTCAACTTAGTTTGTATAATATGCTCAACACGCCCCCTCATGTGTGCGGACCATGACCTTTGGCATGACTCTGATACCAAATTGAAGCATGTGTTCCATCTCAAGTAAAAGCTTAAGCTGATAGTTGGATTGCACATTTATGTTTATATGTATTATATGCTCAACAACTTATACTGGTTGGTTTTTATGCATGCAGGCAATGAGTGTTGGGCTGCAGACAGTGAGTACATTCTGGTTCTACAGGCTTGTGAGATTTTGGACATTCAAATTCTCAAACATCACTAAATCTAAGACTTAGTTTCACCTCAAAGATCAGAGTTGCTGAATATTCTTTACACCAGCTTCATCAAAATATTAAAAAAAAAAAAAAAAAACAAAAAACAACAACAACAACAACAACACTGCAGTATAAGATATAGTTGTGCACTAATTTGTAATTAACATGTATGAGTAATATGCATTTGAGAGAAATATATATAATATAATGTTGTGCGATACAAGAAATTGAATATGTAACGTAGTCTCACTAGTCTGGTACATAATGTTATATATATAACTATATAAGTGTTACCTTTGAATATGTAATGTAGTCTTGAACACTTCAATTCCACTGCGTGATTATTTTTATTATTTTCTAAATGGTTGGAATGATCTCCTGTAAATCAAACCCAATGATTATTACTTTCATAATTTCGGAACGAAAGGAATAAAAAAATTATTTGTTCAAAGAGTGCAATGAACCAAGATGGGAAGGATGCTAGAAAGAAAGAAAAGTACGGAGTGAAAAAAGTTCACACAGAAATAAAAGCTAAACTAAAATGGTAACTGAGTGTTGGAAAGTTATATATTAAATTAGTAATGGAGATTAGTGTTTCGGATGTGTTACCATCCTAATCCATTAGGCATGATGGCGTCCTTGTAACTGCCCGTGTGGACTGGGCGCCACCCACTTGGGGTGGGTGGTTAGGGTCCAGCTTGACCGAATCTTTCGCCCGCCTCGACTAACCAGACCTCGTGAGCTCTTGGGCTCATCTTGAGGTCGGCCTTGGGCATTGGGACTGACCTTAGGGAGGCCGACCCGATCGCCCATGAGCTCCAATCCTTATACCATGGACCAGGGTTCATAGTGCATTAAGGACCCTGGTACATGTGTATGTGTACATGTTGGCCTTGTTTGGTTAATGGCGGATCTGCCAAATTTTTGGCGGATCCACCATTTTAGCGTTTTGACGGGAACCATGTTTAGTTATCAGCGGTTTGGAGTAGCAGTTTGCTCCAAACCGCTGAAATCCCAAACGCTGCTAGGAGCAGCGTTTGGGGTTGGCATTTTGGGGAAGGATTTTCCTTCCGCAAAACACCCTCCATTAAAAAAAAAATAAAAAAATTAAACTAATACGTAAGAAGCCTGAGCCTATAAGGGAGCTCAACGCCATTAATTTTATAAAACTTTCGATGTGGGATTTTTATCCCACATCATTTTTGTTTTTTTTTTTTTTTTTAAATTTTATTATTATTATTATTATTATTTCAAAAATTATTATTATTATTATACCCTTTTGGTCATTTTACATGTTAACCGCTAATCTAAACAGCTAATTTTACCAAACATCTTTTTACAAACCGCTGATACAATCTGCTGGTCAAACCCGCTAATATAATACGCTATTTGTTAACCGCTAATTAGAGGTGGCCAAAACCCGGGCCTGGGCCGGTCCCGTGCCGAGCCCGGACCTCGGTTAACATTGCTCGGGACCGGCCCATAATGTTCAGGGCCGGTCTCGTGCCGGGCCTAGTCCGGGTCGGCCCGGGCCTCTTGTGGGCCGATCCCGGGCTAGGCCCAGAATTTTTTATATTTTTTCTTAAATATATAATTTTTATAAGTTGAAATATTTTTGTTTGAAATGAGATTTGAACCCTCAACCTTTGTGTTGTCAAATTAAGTTCTTTCCAATTAAGCTAATTCAACCTCTTGTTACATTAATAATTGTTAATACTTTAATATCATTTAAACTTGTAGTCTTGTACTAGAAATCTAGTATCCAATTTATTTAAGACTTAATATTATTTGATAACTTATAAATATTATTTACTCACTAAATTTTACTGATAAATTAAAATTTATAAAAGACTTTTAAATTAAGTTTACTCTTAATTTAAGTTCTTTCCAATTAAGTTTATTAATCTCAAAATTAAAAATTAACACAATTTTCTACTAAATTAAATTTTATAAATGACTTTAATATCATTTAAACTTGTAGTCTTGTACTAGTATTCAATTTATATAAGACTTAATATTATTTGATAACTTATAAGTATTATAGTTTATAAATTTCATTTGATTTTTTACTCACTAAATTTTATTTATATAAGACTTAATATTATTTGATAACTTATAAGTATTATAAAATGTATTATAGTTTATAAATTTCATTTGATTTTTTACTCACTTAATATCAAAAATTAATAAAAGACTTCTAAATTGGGTTTGCTCTTAATATTGAGAAACATTAAGATGCCTACGTATCCTCAATAATTTAGAGGAATCAAAACCCACGTAGTTCTTTATTTTTATAATCATTTAGAAAAATAATTGGGCTTGCTCTTAATATTGTAAAAAATTAAGATGTCTACGTATCCTCAATAATTTAGAGGAATCAAAGCCCTCGTAGTTCTTGATACGTACCTCATTTGATTAGCTCATTTTCATTCTTGATCGGAAGTACCGGTAGAGGTTGCACGAGAACTAGCATTAGGCGTGGCTTCACATGATGTATTCATGGCCAACCATTCATCTATTTCATCTTCTTCCATTAGTGCAAGTTGATCTTGAGTGCGTTCTTCGGCAGCGTCCCAATCCTTCTTCATGACACAAATTTTGATGGAATCCGGTGCCAAACTTGATCTTTTATCGTCTAATACTCTCTTGCCGGCACTAAAAGCAGACTCGAATGCAACTGTTGAAGCAGGACATGCAAAAATATCCTTTGCAATTTTTGACAAAATAGGAAATTTTGTTTCGTTTCCTTTCCAAAATGTTAGTATATGAAAATCATCATTTATTTCAAAATTACAAGACAAATATGTATCTATTTCAGAAGAATTACCACTACCACTACCACTACCCTTTGATTTTTTTCAACTAAACCACTCAAGCTATTTAGTCCTTCTTGAACACATAAATTTAAAACATGAGCACAACATCTAATATGCAATAATTTACCACTAACAGGTAAAGATAAGCTTTGAAGTAAATAATCTATAGATCTAGTATTAGAAGAAGCATTATCTAAAGAAATTGAAAAAAATTTATTTCTTAATTCAAACTCATCCAAAACATTTATTATTCGTTCTTTTAAATTAAAAGCAGTATGAGATTCTTCAATTAATTCAAAACCGATAATTCTTTTTTGGAGTATCCAATTATTATCTATCCAATGACAAGTAACACAAATATATGGTTCACCTTGAGGAGTTGTCCAAGTATCACTAGTTAATGCAACACGACCATTAAAATTTGCAAAATAATTAATTAACATAACTTTTGACATATGAAAACTTTTATAGATAGCACGTTTTAAAGTATTTCTTGGTACTTTTTTATATTGTGGTTGTAAAGTTTTTTTAACAAATCTTTCAAAATGAGGACTTTCGGATTGACTAAAAGGTAATTCATCACTAATTATAAATCTACCAAATTCATCAATCATTGTTTCTCGTGAATAAGTAAAAATACCTCCGCCGGGGGTAGCATACCCGGAAATTTGTGTTTGTCCTCTCTCGAGTTGTCCTTCATCATTTCTCAAATTGTGGCAAGAAGTCAAGTGCCTACTAAGAGTTCCGGTGCCACTTGATCCGGATTGCCAAGAAAATGGTTTTTGACTCCTCTTCATATTTGCACATATTTTACAACTTACTGTATATCGATTGGAGGATCCTTCAACGAGTGTTTTTTCATAGTGTTGCCAAACCCATGATGTTTGTTTCTTCCCCCCTTCCGTTGGAGGAATAGGAGGAAGATTGCCGTCACCTTGAGTAGAAACAAATTGATGTTGATCAATTTGTTGTGAATCTCCTCCTACATTAGAAAAATTAATTGGCCTCTTACCGGGATTGCCACTATAAGCCATATGATATTAGGAGTATAAGAATTAAAAATATAAGACAAATATTTTTTTTTGAACAAAAAAATATAAGACTAATAATTTATTTTGAACACACAAGAATATAGGACTAATATAAGATTATAAGAATTAAAAATATAGGATATTATAAGAAATTAAAAATATATAAATTGAAATTGAAAATTTGAAGTATTGAAATTTGAGAGGTTGGAAGAAATTAAAGAATGAAAAATAAATAATAAGAGTAATAAAATTTGTAAAGATTAAGAGAATATATGGAGAATTGTTGTGAGTAGAAGTAAGAGAGTGTAGGATTGAAAATTTTGGTGTAATAAAAATGAATTGAGTAAGGGTATTTATAGAGTTTATTAGTTGAAAAAAAAAAAAAAAAACTTCATCCAGTGCAACGGCCAAAAATTTGGCCGTTGCACTGAGGAAGTAGTCTGCCGGAGGCCAGGCCTAGCCTAGCCTCCGGCGAGACTACTTATATTGACATGATGCAACGTGCAACAGCCAAATATTTGGCCGTTGCACGTTGCAGGCTTGCAGCTAGCTAGCTAATCTAAATTTGCTTTTGGCCAGCTGCCACATTTGTGGCAGCTGGCCAAAAGTAGTTTATTTATTTATTTATTTATTTTTTTTTAGCATTAGCCATGGGAGAGGCAGCTTTGCTGCCAATCTCCCATGGTTCCGTTTTCCCGGTCCTAGGCCCGAGCCTGGGCCGGGCCTGGGCCTGGGCCGGTTAGGGGCCTGGGTGCCTGGGCCTGGGCTCTGGGCCGGTTCCGTGCCGGGCCCCGAATTTTTTTTTAAGGGACCTGAACCGGTCCTTAATAACTCGGTTCAGGTTCGAGCTAAGCCCGGCCCAGGCCCAGTAAAGCCCAGGCCCACCTTTTTCCGGGTCGATTCAGGGTTGGTTCGACCTTGAACCGGCCCGTGGCCACCTCTACCGCTAATACAATCCGCAAACGCTAACCGCTAACCGCTAATTGCCAAACAAGGCCGTTATGTTATGAATTTTAATTTTGTGTCTTGTGTTATGAATTTTTGTGCTTATGAACACAAATTATGTACCTAAATCATATTTGAAAACTAAATAAATATATAACATGTGTATGTGTCTTGCGCGTTTTGTAATTTTCTGTGTCATGTGTTATAAAATTTTGTACTTTACGAATATGAATTATGTAACTCGTCGTTTCGATCTCGGATCCATAATGCTATGCAGATTATGATCCATGATATAAATTGCCCATAAACTCAGGTCAGACCACCTTGGGGTCGGCCTAGCCCGGGTTTGTTCATCACCTCTTCTCGAGCCGGTTCTCCTTAACATCAATTTAGGCCGGTTCGTTGCAGACCATTCTTAATGCATCCCTCACTAACATAATGCTTTCGGTAGGTGCATATTATATTTTCGATAATAATACACATACGAAAATTTGTTTTTTTAAGACATTTAGGACATGAAATCTCATTTAACGTAAAGAATATTCAATGTATTTCTATAATTATATGTTTTTTTTTTCTCATGTTGAAAAAGAAAGGAAACTAATTAACTGTCATACTTGTGCATGCGTATTGTGTTTGTGATTTCCTTCCACGATTCTTCAAAGGAATGTATTTTCTTTTGGAAAATACATTTCCAAATGTTTTCAATATGAAAATTATCACCAAACATTTTTTATAACACTCAAACACTCCTATCTTCAGAGTTTCTATGCACCATAGATGTTACTCCGTAGAATGTAATATCTGTCCATACATACTTTCTTAAATATATATAGGCCCTATTTGGTAAAAAATTGGCTTATAGGTCAATTTTGGCTTATTTGACCACTATTAATTGTTTGATTTAGTTAAAATATCAATAGAAATGTTTGGTTAATTAGCTTTTTGCAACTCCAAAAGGCTAAAATTCAAAAAGCTACTCCAAGCAACTTTTTCAATTAGCTTTTTGAGAAAAGAAATTATACCAAACAGCTATTAGCTAACAGCTAATTTACCAAACACTTTTCTACAATCATATAATGTTATCAACTATTTATACCCTTTAATTAACACAATCAGCTAACAGCAAACAGCCATTTTACCAGGACCATGGCCTCCCATTTGGGAGAGCCATTGTTATGTCTCTTGACCACAAGATTTTTGACGTTTATTAAATAATTAATCAAAAGGAAATACTTGTTGAACTCTAATTTTCTACCCTCTCTCTCTCAGAAGTTTTTGATGTAAACACTTTTTTTGGGACCCATATTATGAAAATAGTATATTATTATTTGCCACATCATGAAGTAAAAGTTGACTAGGACAGGACTGAAAATTTATAGCCAACAACCTTTGTAAATGTTGTCCAACCAGCTCAACTACGAATAATTTAAATTAATTTACTTATTTTTATTATTTTTATTAACTACGGTCATTAAATGAGTTTACTCAAAACGCACATTTAAATAACAGCGAGCGATTTTCTCGATACAGATAGAACAAGAATGAGCGGTGGCACTGCCGTGCCATTGGATAAAACGATAATGAATGCCCACTCCTTTCATACCAACAAAATAGGTTTTTTTTTTTTTTTTTTTTTTTTTTTTTTTTTTTAAATGTTCCAACATTAAAAAAGAAAAATGTATGACCGTTAGTTGCACCGGAAATATAGTTGGCGGCGGCTACCATGAGAGAAATTATTTATTCTATGAGAATAAAAATGTGAATCGAATATATGTTTACCTATATATTTTTATGATTTAAAAAATAGATAATAAAGAATGAAAAATTTGTGGGTGAGGTAGAAAATGGCCTCTCTTTTTTTGTTTTTTTTTTTTTTTTTTTGTTTCTGAATTATAGAAAAATAATATTTTCACCCACAAATTATAGTGTCATCATTTTTTTTTTTTAAGAATAAGGTTCAAATTGGCCACTGAACGTAACCTGAAAATGCAATTAGGCTACTGAACGAAAAAAAAAGTGCAATTAGACCACTGAACACTGCAAAAAAGTGCAATTAGGCCACTGAACTCTCCAAACGTATGCAATTTCACCGGATAGCAGGTTAACATCAATTTTAGCAGGTTACCTGCTTACGTGGCACCTGAGTTGGCATTTTTAATAATTTTTAAAGAATTTTAATAAATTTAAATAATTAATTTTAATAATAAATTTAAAAAATGAAAAAAAATTAAATAAAAAACAAAATACAGTCGTTTTTTATTTTTTATTTTATAAAAAATTATTATTAAAATTTATTAAAAATTTATTAAAAATGCCAACTCAGCTGCCACGTAAGCAGGTAACTTGCTAAAATTGAAGGTAACCTGCTACCAGGTGAAATTGCACATTTTTTGTATGTTCAGTGGCCTAATTGCACTTTTTTCCGTTCAGTGGCCTAATTACATTTTCGTGTTACGTTCAGTGGCCAATTTGAACCTTATTCCTTTTTTTTTACCCCTTAATTATCCGTACTTTTTTGCCCCGGAATTGTCTATGAAGTCGTTTTTTTAATTTTATTTTATATTTTTTTTTTTACACAACCCTCCTTTTTTATAGGAAACAAGAATGAATAAGAAAGTCATTTTCTAGACTATATTTGGCAAAACCTATTTTAAAAGTTTATAATTTATTTTAACCTACAAATAAGCTATAAGTTTTGTTTGGTAAAACAAGAAGAGTTTAAAATATTAACTTATTTTGAAATTTTACTATTATTAATGTTTCAAAATAAACTAGTAGCTAGCATCTTTTAAACTTTCAATTTTAAGTTAGCTTTCAAGCTAGTTATACCAAACATAGCCAAAAAGTGACCACATATATAGTTACAAGATGAAAAATGTTTCCCACATGGGCAGCTCATCAACTGATCGAAAATGTAAAATTTATCACAAGAGATTAAGGATGTGTCGAACCGGGGTACGAGACGACTGGGGTAGGCGATTCCACCTTTTGTCACAAGACGAAAAATGTTGCTTTCCCGAAAAATGAAAACAAAAAGCAGGCTAAACTACCTCACCAGCTCACGTGTATGGCTATATATATACTCGAAAGAATTAATGAAACAAAGAAGTTTGAACTACTTACATTAATACTCCAACCTCCCTCTTTGTTTCCCTTTATTTTCCATAATTCATTCTATAAAACCAGTTTAATGTTTTCTTCCTGAGAAACCCTGCAAGCTAAGCTAAGCTAAGCTAGCTAAGGTTGTTCTGTCAGATCAGAACTCCATTGAATTGAAGTTAATAGATGGAAGATTATGCGATAAAGACAGTGGCGTTGAGCTCAGTTTCATGGGCAACGTTGTTTGTGGCGACAACAAAGGTTGCGCCAAAGCGATCTTTCGATTTCCAGAGCCGAATCGTCGCCACTTTCCATGCATTATTGGCAATAACGTTGGCTTCTCTGTGTGTTCAAGACTGGTCTTGCCCACTCTGCCCCCTGGCCACCAAACCTTCACCCCAGCAGGTATTTGCTCCGCCATTTTTGTGCCCCCAAGCTTTTACTTCTTCTGGTTTTTAAGGTATATATATATGGGTTGTAAGTGAGTTCTTCTTGGTTGAGTTTCTGGTCTCTCGACTATGATGATTTCTTAAAGTTTTTGTCTTTTGAAAATATAGATATATAGGTTGTAAGTGAGTTGTTCTTGGTTGAGTTTCTGGTGTCTCGACTATAATGATTTCTTAAAGTTTTTGTCTTTTGGTTTTGATTCGTTTTCAGTTTTAGTTCTCGGCTTTAGAAGATGTTATGCGTTTTTGTTTGAAGGGAAAATTGCAATTTTCGCGATTTCCTTGTTTACTAACGGTGCCAAACTACAAGTGCAGAACCGGGCGATAGCCATCACAACCGGCTACATGATATATGATTTGATGTGTTGTGTGTATCATCACGAGTTAAAGACGGAGGATCTGGTGCACCATTTGGTTACCATTTTTGGACTGGGAGCTGGACTTGCCTATCAAAGGGTGAATGGCTCTTAGATCAAGTTTTGTTCTACTAAATTTGTTTAGTCAATCTTTTTTTTTTTTTTTTAATTTATTGATTTGGGAAATTTTTAGTGTGGATCAGAAATGGTGGGAGCATTGTGGGTTTCAGAGATTTCAGGTCCATTCCTCCACCTAAGGGACATTCTCAAAGAGCTTGGTTATAGGGACACTGCCCTCAATCTTGCAGTTGATGTGAGTTCCATAATTTTTCTATTTTCTACTTTTTGGAAAAAAAAACCGAGATATAAGGAAAATAAGTACTTCAGAGTATATCAATGCAAGATTATATAGGAGAAGTCGGACAAATAGTTGATGTTGTATTGATTTTCGACAGATATGCTTTGCAGTCATTTTCTCGATATCTCGGATGATAGGAGGCACTTACCTCACATATCTCACAGTCTCGGCTGAAAATCCAATCCTCATCAAGGTATAACTGTTCTTCCATGTTCTTCGCTACGTCAAAGGATTAATCTTTATCGTACTATCAATTGGTCGGGCATTATGCAGGCGATGTCTGTCGGGCTGTTGATTGTCAGTGCGTTCTGGTTCTACAAGATTGTGAGAATGGTGATATACAAGTTGTCTAAGAAGAGAAAAGCCAAGAGTTTCACCTCGAAGAGCTTGTGAATTCAGTGCAGAATGGTATAATAATCCCGCTATCTTGATTCACAAAACCATTGTTGTTATACCAGTTTGATCGAAATAAAATAGAGTGGTAACTGGTAATGGTAATGTGGCTATATGCAATGCTTCATTTCTACTTAAAAATGATGTTCTGTATCCACCGCAAATGATTAATAAAAAAAGACGAGACAAAAACAAGTTCATTGGCAAAAAAACAAGAATGTACAACAAGATCAGAGCAAGTGCATAGTTGAAGGAGGCATGGAATATGGATGGTTGAACAGCATAATCCGCTGTTTTGGAGGGTAGGGTTGTCCGAAGAGGCAGCATATTACTAAGCTTTCAATATCCCGGGGGGGCAAAAGAGGAAATTAATTACCTGTGCTTCCATGAATCTTGACCCTAGTCTTTGCCGAAGTCTGCATTGTAGTGAGCACTTGACTCGAGCTTCTTGGCCTCGTTGAGCTTTCGAACGGCCTAAAAATAAAATAGTCACAAAATACATAATAGTTACCATGTCAACAGTATAAGCTTTTTTCGATAAATATAAATCACAAATGAGCCACTGGAGAAGATTACAAGATATGAATGTAAAATTTGGAAATTTTACCTTCATGAAATCTTCGTGGATAACATAATCCCTTTCTGCACGGATAGCTGACATTCCAGCCTCGGTACATACATTACGAAGGTCAGCTCCATTGAACCCCTAAGAATAATTAAGATTAATTGTGTACCATAATTACTCCCCATATAATAACTTTTTGTTTTAGAGATTGCACAGTTTTACCTCGGCAAGTTTAACAACAGCTTCATAATCAATTTCGCCATGTTTAGCTATTCCAGAGGCGTGTATTTTAAGAATTTCCATTCTTGACTGCTCATTTGGCAGCGGGATTTCAATCTTCCTGTCTAAACGCCCAGGCCGAAGAAGTGCAGGGTCAAGAACATCAGGTCGATTCGTTGCCATAATCATTTTTACCTGCACAAGAAATTTGTTTTTGCTGTTGTTTCTTCCTTCTCCTTCTAAAAGAGATGCTATTTAAGCTTTCAAATACGTAATCTTGAAGATAAATCTGGAAAATGTGATCTTACTTCTTACAGGATTTATTTAGTTGTATATTTGCATAACTAAATAATTGAAGCACGTGCTCCATCTCAACTAAAAGCTTAAGCTGGTAGTTGGACTGCACATTTATGTTTATATATATTATATGCACAACACGCCCCCAACACGTGACATTCGAACCCGTGACCTTTGGTCTGGCTCTGATACCAAATTGAAGTATGTGCACCATCTCAACTAAAAGCCTAAACTGATAGATGGACTGTACATTTAGGTTTATATATATTATATGCTCAACATAAATATCCAAAAACTTGAATAGAGACGTACCTTTCCGAGCTGATCAAATCCATCCAGCTGATTTAGTAACTCCATGAGTGTTCTCTGAATTTCTCGATCAGCACTTGTTCCCTCGCTAAAGCGTCTTCCACCAATTGCATCAATCTCGTCCATAAAGATTATGCATGGCTGGTAACAAGAAGAAAAGGATGAGCGTCTACTTTAGATGTGGGAATTCATTGATTAACTGTCCCGGATTACAGACTTACTTGATGATCACGAGCATAATTAAACATTTCCCGAATCAACCTCGCACTTTCTCCAATATATTTGTCAATTATAGCACTCGAAACAACCTATGAGGAAATGAGAGAATGGTGAAGAGTGAGCCAGATCCAAAACGAAAAACGGGTTTAGAAAACCAAGAGCAATGGGAAATGTGTACAAACCTTTAAAAAGTTGGCATCTATGTTGCTGGCAATAGCTCTTGCTAGCAACGTCTTCCCCGTACCGGGAGGCCCATAGAGAAGTACACCCTGAAATCATAGATGATGCTTCTTAAGCCAGAGTACATCTACTTGTCATTGAAGAAAAGGAGATCCGAAACCCTTAATTTTTCGAGATGGGAAAGAGGAATACCTTTGGAGGTTTGATTCCAACTCTGAGGAACAGCTCGGGATTCATAAGAGGCAGTTCAATAGATTCTCTAAGTTCTCGAATTTGATCCGATAAACCACCTACCGCAGAGTAACTAACATTTCCAGGATCCTCATGGAGCATGCTATAAACAACAGGGTCAACCTGGACAATGACATAACAATATGTACGTGGTTATAGGGACATATAACAAATAGATGATAGATGATTCTGTTTTCCATTTAGAAAACAGTTTTTAAGAGTGTTCCAGTTTTCCAGAAATTTCCAGAAATTATTTTCAGTTTTCAAAATGGAAAAATGTGCTAGTAAACATGTTTTCTATTTTCTATTTTCCAGTTTCCAGAAATTTTCAGTTAGTAAACGGCACCTGAGTGTCAAATCACCGACAACAAACAACATTCTCGAATTGGTTATTGGTTCAGCCTAAAGGTAGGCTAAGCCCCTCTTTGAGCATCTAGTTAGACTTTAGAGTTCAAATTCCTCCCCCGGGCTCCTATGTACCAAAAATGGAACTCATATTACAAAAAAAAGGGGTGAATAACAAACCTCGCGTGGGAGAGCTCGCATGATTGTGAGGGTAGTCATGTCGAGGACCACCCTAGTTCCAGCAATCAATTTTTCCTTGTCAAGTTTATTTCGGCAGCCAACAACATATCTCGGGCCACTGCTCGCTTTGACAATCACTAGAGCAAAAACGCACGCCATTATTAACCATCTTTATCATGCTTTAGCGAAAAGAGGCCTAATCAAGTCACAACCATGGGTCTAATGGTTCAATGTAGCAATTATATGCAAGTATCACAAATGTTGGACCACAAAAAGTTCAAGCTTTTACAAATTCACCATTAACCAATTCTTGAGGTGAAGATGCATATATGAATAAGACTGATAATCAGCAGAAAATTCTCTTCTTTCTTCCCTTAGGGGGAGAAGAGGGGATGAATATGTAGACATCTGTTTGGTAACATAGTTAGCTTATAAGCCAATTCTGGCTTATTTAACCACTATTAGTTGTTTGACTTGGTTAAACAATCAATATGAGTGTTTGATTAATTAGCTTTTTATAACAACTTATTGCTCCATAATACTAAAATTCAAAAAGCTTCTCAAAATAGCTTTTTCAATAAGCTTTGAGAAAGTCATTTTGTATGTAATAGGCTATCAACTAATTTACCAAACACTTTTCTACAATGAGCTAATGCTATCAACTAGTCAAACCCACTAACCCAATCAGCCAACAGCTATTTACTAAACACCCCCATTATGTACTCTTCATGCACTTTGATCTCAATAATTTAAGTAACTTTTTGCTTCTTTATTATAAGCCTCTAAACAGAATCAGAAATAAGAGGACTGGGAAATAAAACTATAAAAGCAAAAGGTCAAAGATCAAAGCTTTAGATAAAAAATAAGAGCAATTACTTCGTTCATGGTCAAGAGGCCTAAGAACTTCACCAATTATCTGGCCTACACTCTGAAGAGACTTCAAATCATCCTCAGTTTTGTTGAAATCCTTCTTCGCAGCTCTGAAATTATCCCTAACTGCAAGTTTTTCAATCATTTATTAAGTAAGAAAAAAAAAAAAAAAAAAAAAAACTTAATTGACGAAAACTAACCAAAAGCCCTCTTACTCAAAATCATAACAAAAGCAACACGGGAAATAAATAATGTGTTTAAAAAATTAGCAACGGAAGTACCTGTTTTAAGCCTAGCTTCGAGCTCTTTGTGGTGAAGGAGCTTCTTCCGGTACTCCGCCGCCGTCGCATTGCGGCGTCGAACTGCATCTTCCCCTTCTCCTTCACTCATCGCCCGAATCGGAGAGTTGATCGGAATTCAGAAAGTTCAGGGAGCTGACGTGAATCGGAAAACAGAAGAAAGTATAAAAATGGCGTCTTTACAGCGGTTGAAAGCTTTCTATAATGATGATTTGGAAGGTTGGTAGAGTTGGAGCCTTCTACAAGAAAGCTTTTTGTTTGCAGGTTACATGGATTGATTTTGGGCTGAAAACCCAACTTCAAAACACTTGGCCCAATTGAAAGCCCATGAATAGGTCAATGGCCCAACAAAATGATGTACTTTGGTCATTCAATTTGATCATATCCGATTCCATAACTATTGATTTTGTTCCATATTCTTCCAAAAGGCTGATCCCCAACCCTAAAAGCTAAGAGCAAATAATAATTTTGGTTTCACGAGTATTGACAAAATGACGATTTTGGTCCACATGTTTAATTTCTACCAATTTTCATCCACGATTATTGTTTTAGTACCAATTTTCATCCACGACTATTGTTTTAGTACCAAAAATCATCACGTCGGTCACCCCTTCATTTAAGACATGCCGAAATCTAAAAATTGTAAGGACATTTTCAACATAAGATTCTAATTTGAGCAAGAATAAAGAGATTTAAGCCCAAAAATCGATCTCAATTCGCAGTTCTCCTCCTCATCCTACCTTAATTTGTGGAGGAGAACTATGAATTGGACAGATCTTATGGCTTAAATCCTTTATTCATGCTCAAATTGGGATCTTAATTTGAAAATGACGAAAAATACCCTTAATAATTTCATTTTTCGGCATGCTTTAAACGAATGGGTGACCAACGTGATGGATTCTGTCACTAAAACAATAGTCGTGGATAAAAATTGGTACTAAAACAATAGTCGTTGATGAAAATTGATAAGAATTAAACATGTGGACTAAAATTGTCATTTTGGTAATACTTGTGGAACCAAAATTGATATTTGCTCTTAAATCTAATGGTCAAAATGTAAAAATTAACTAGTAGAATCGCCTCTCTAGATTTGCATATTTAAGGTCGTTGAAACAAATGATATAATTGCTTCAAATTTGGGGCAAAGTCTTATCATAGCTTGGTCTAAATTGGCTTATACATCAACTTGTTCTTTCACATTTTGACTAATGATAAACCTAGTGTATGAAGTTTATGAATTCAATTTGCTCATCTTAGTAACAATTAACAAGCAAATTTGTTGCCGACTTTTTGACCAACCTGGATTAACATTCTTCTTGGGGGACCTTAGTTCTGATTCATCCACCGAATGGGATTCAAGGATTTCTGACTCGTGATGCCAACTCCGTCTTAACAAGAAGAATCTCCTAATCTTTTCTAGAGCTTTTATAGCTCCTCTTTCTCTACCAAAAAAAAAAAAAAAAAAAAAAAAAAAAAAAAAGCAAATTTGTTACATTGTTACTCTTAAATTTAACATTTACTCAATAGATAAATAACTGAATGATCAAATTTAAAACTAAATCAATAGTTATGGCAATATGAGCTACTTATGGCCAATTTTTTTTTTTTTTTTTTTTTTTAAATACATTGCCAATACCTCTCTATCAACTCATTAATAACTCGAAGCAAGCGGTAATAAAATTATTTAAAGAAGTTGGAATTAAATTTGTAATCTTTTATCCAAAAATATAAGCACATATACACCACTCAATTATAAGGTCTTTTGACCAAGTAACATGTCGTATGATAGCATTCCGGTTATCATTTCAAATGGGTGGTTATAGGTTCAAACTTCGGTGGTGGGACTGAAAAAAATATAGAATAAATAATACTAATTTGTAAACAATCACGAGTATTTCAAAAAAAATAAAATTACGATGACTGTTTTAAATAATTAGATGTGGGTATTATAATATGGTTATATACATAGTTAACTATGTATATCTTGTAAGAGAATCCATTGTTTTCTCTGTATTTTCTATATCTCTCTCTTTATCTAATTATGCAATCGAAACTATACAATTATTCACGTGATGGTATTTCTAGTTTTACAATAATGACTACGACCTTGTTTGGTAAAATAGTTAGCCTATCAGTTAAATTTTGACTTATTTGACCACTATTATTTGTTTAATTTGGTTAAAAAATCAATACAAGTGTTTGGTTAATTAGCTTTTTGTAACTCCAAAATGCTAAAATTCATAAAGTTGTTCAAAGTAAATTTTTCAATTAACTTTTTGAGAAAAGAAATTATACCAAACAGCTATCAGCTAACAGCTCATTTATCAAATACCTTTCTACAATCAGTTAATGTTATCAACTAATTATACCCTCAAATTAACCCAATCAGCTAACAATTAACAACCATTTATCATACAGTCACATCTTAGAGTGATAAAAATCACGTACGTTGTCGTAAAACACCCGACATGAATCTAGTCAAATTTCGTAATGTTCAATTATTGAAGATTTCATATTTCCCAAACAATGCAAGATCCTACATTGGGCGACTCACAATGTCTACTCAACTTTTTTTGGTTCCTCCCTTCACCCAATTAAGTCCACTAACCACCCCAATCATCTAGACAAAAGCCCATGGGGCAATATGAAAATGGGTCCTATCTCTTCCCAATTGTGAGGTTAGAGGTGGATCAATGTGATGGCTTGGGTGATGGTGGAGTCGTTATATCATAGACCGCGGTGCATATGCACCGTGGTAAAAAACGGCGCCATTTCTTTAAGTAAAGAAACGGCCCGCCGTTATAGTTAACGGAGTCTGCTTGTTTGGTGTATTAAACACCAACTGACACTACAGTATATCTAAACCGACACTGCAGTTATATCAAAATGATACTGTAGTTATAGTGAAATGAAACTGCAGTGTATATAAAATGAAACTGAATAATATTTCATATATTTGAGTGTATATTGTACAATAAAGCTGTAATTATATCAAAATGATCATGCAGTTGTGTTTTAATGAAACTATAGTGTATATAAAATAAAATTAAATAACATTTTCACATATTTGAGTCTATAAATATTGAATGAAACTATACTTATATCGAAATGAAACTGTAGTTGTGTTGAACTGAAACTGCAGTATATACAAAATGACACTGAATAACATGGTTACTTTTTGCAAAAGGGTGCGAAATGGCGAAAAAGAAACACCGTTTCTTTTCATTTAAAAAAAGGACGCGCACCGTGGTGCATGATATAATTTGCCGTGATGGTGGGAAGATAAGTTGCCCTATATTGAAATCGATTTCGTTTTTGATGTACTAATTGATCATTAGTACGAAAGTAGGGTTTTCATTCCTAACTATGTAATTTTTATCTAAAATATATAGTTCATTGTCCAAACCAAAATAGTTATGATTAAGACTATTAACATATACAGATTTTATATAAGAAACTTATATATGGACACTCATTAGAAATCTCAATATTGACCCTTGTTCTCCTCGTATGTGAAAAGATTACTTTTAACTTTTCTGAATTATGATATGATTATAAGTTTATATTTTTACTCGGACATTATATGGGGAAATTTATGTTATTATTGTTTTCTCTTTTCTCATATCAATAAAACAAGAATCTAATATAATTATAATTGTGTCAACCTATCAATATCAATGATACTGTGAGTAGAATTACTATATGAATAAAGATTGATTGTCTAATTTGACATGACGTCAAAGCAACCTTATGTTTTCTAACTCGATCGATAGGTGTCATGTAAGTACAATATCAAATCCTATCAAAGCATGCGTTGAATAGAGAAATATTATATCATTATATTCTCTCTTTTTTTCTCAACATGACAAAGAATATAATTTAATTACGACTATTTCAACGTATCAATATCAACAGTATTGGAATCAAAATTACTTTGAATATATAGAAACTGATTGTTTGATATGACTTAATGTCAAGGGGACCTTATGTTTTCTAGCTCACTGATCATCATGGGTGCAGTGTCAAATCCTATCAAAGCATGCTTTGAATAGAGAAATATTATAGCGTTAAATTATTCTTTCTTTTCTTAATATGACCAAGAATATAATTTAATTATGACTAATTCAACGACCGATCAGTATCAATTAATCATCTTATCTAACTTAACGTTAAGAAGACTTTATGTTTAGTAACACGGTAGTCCTGATTGATGTAATGTCAAATCCTATCAAAAGCATGCATGCTTTGATGTGTGTATGGTGGTGGTGCATGCATGCATGCACCATGAGGGACTATTATATTGCTCATTCATCGATCAAATCACTTGTCACCAAACATCTTTAGTTCTAACTAGGGTTTCGCATGCTTGGATGAATATATAGACATCATAACCAAGACCTACTTATACCCAACATCAAATATAATACTAATAATAAAGAGCAAATTCCAATTTTAAACCTTGAATACTGTGACACTGTCGCATTTAGTCCGATGCTTTTATTTTGTCTCATTACATCCTTGATTGACTTCCATTTGTTCATCATAATTAGTCTTCTATTTACATTTCTATCACTCTACGATTTAATAAATTAAAAATGAGTTAACATATAATTTCATTGTCAATTAAAAGAGTTTATGAGCGATGGAGAGAAATTATATATTGGGGCAAGTAGTTTAATTTGAATTGTTAAATTACATGTTAGTTCTCTTTGTTAAAGGCTCAATGACAAAATTTTAAATGAAGAACTAACTGTGACAAACAAACAAAAGTTGATGATGCATGTAATGCAACAAAATTAAAAGAATAGAACTAAATGGGAGAATGCCACAATATTGGAGAACTAAAAGTAAAATTTGTTGTACTAATAAATTATAATGTTTACATCATTTGGCCATGTTCACTCTTCCATAGTTATTTGAATATTCAACTTGCAAATAGTTGATAACTTGACTCCAATTTTCTTGGTCATTGCTCAATTATTGGACAACTACATAAATGGAGACAAAAAATGAATGCATGAATAACTCATCAACGAAACATATTTTATATTTATATAGATCATAGGAATGAGTATATGTATGTATGTAATGTGATTTGGTTTGGTTAGACCTAATTAATCATGCAACTGCTAATTTAAATATGAAAATTTTGATTCTTTTTAATTAATATTTTAGTTAAATTGTCAAAATTTTTGCAATCGAGTGGCATAACTGTGACTCCCTCAAATGGGAGGTCACAGGTTCCGAACT